ACAGTTTGACTAAATGCACTCTAACATTGCTGAGCCTGCAATATCTCATTATGAAAGATCGCAGATACGTCATTAACACAGGGAGCCCAATTTCTATTGTATTTTATTAAATATTAACTTAATTTTTAGTAAAAAGAAAATACTACAGAAACTGGGTTCCCTGTTTTAATGACGTATTTGCGGTTTTTCATAATAAAATACAGCGGGCTCATTAGAAAGACGAAGATGGGGCGGTTCAATCTCGTACCCAGAGCCCACGTTCCTCATGTTCAGCAACGAGAAACAATAGGCTCTGGATGTAACCGATTWTTTGAGCATTCCTATTGGTCCGGGGAAAAACAATAGAAATAGTCGTTCCGGAAGTAAAATGGGTAWCAGACTCGAAAATATCAGGAAATACACTGGAACCCCGTTGATAAGGACACCGTTGGGACGGACAAAACTGTCCTTATTAACGGGGTGTCCCTATTAACCGAGGTGTCAAAAAAACAGCTGAAAACACATTTTTAACCTTTCATTTTTACTGTACTGTAAACCTTGARCTATAATGGTCAATATAACAGCCTAAACTGAAACAAAAAGTGCATTACCGTACAAGAACTACATTTGCATTAACTGAACTGTATTGTACGGGAAATAACAGTGCAATGGTATTGCGAGCTTTGTCTATTTCATTATGCTGTAATAGGAAACTCTWYTGCAATGGTCAGAGTGTGGTCCGTTGATATGCAAAAACTGACAATATAATCCGTTTTAAGCTCATTATATCAATAAACAAATACAGTAAAGACGTCTTCAAATTTCAAGTGTCCTTAATGCGGGGTTGATTATGTATGGAAACTGTCATTYAGGTCCTAGAAATGTGTCCTTTGTACTTATTAACGGGTGTCCTTATAAAGCGTGCTAATTTAACAGAAAATGTATGGAGCTTTCGTTGGGACTTTGAAACCTGTCCTTAATAGCGAGGTTTCCTTATTAAGCGGGTGTCCTTAGGGCGGGGTTCCAGTGTAAGTGGATTTTTCAAGCATTAAATTGGCTTGGATCGAACTCAAAATTTGCTAGAATGTGGTACGATAATCAATCTTTCGCATACCCGAAGCAGATGACAAGGAGACTGGAATTGAAGCAAATTTTCACGAGGATTAGTGCGAGTCGAGTTGGCGGCCGATCGCCCTTGCATTTGTCGTGATGATTTGAACTCAAAAAACGTGTTAAAAACTCACAAAATAGCAC